AGGGACAGCAAGCGAAGGGGCCAGGTGCTATAGCTCGCCTCCCACCCGCTTGCCGAGAGACGGTGAAAATTTCTGAGGTGAAAATCAGATCTGGACCCTGCCTAAATAAAAAGCCTGTTCCAGACTTGGGCAGGGGTTGTTTAACCGCCAGGCAGGCGACTTGTGCCGCAGCAGCCTTAGCTCTGAGCAGCTTGTTTTTCTGGAAGGGCTGCGGTGAGAGAAGATTGCTCGTCTGCCCGCGTCCGTAAAGACCCGGGGATGTTTCTGTTTCCTCTTCTCCTAAAACCGTGAAGTTGCATTTTAAGCCTCGTGCGTGGCTTCCCTTCTGCCAGCCCAGGCTGTCACATGCTATAGGAAAGTGGCCTAATATTGTTAAATCGGGCCTGGAGAGTAAACAGAGAGAGGGAGATGCTTTGCTGCTCTGCTCTAAGGAAAAGCAGTAGGACTGTTTTACTGAGGAACTTAAAGCACATAGATATATGAAACAGAAAAAACTACACCAGAGGTCTGACCAGAAACATCTATGTCAATAGGAGGAGTATTACTGCTCCTTTGATTTTGCCCCTTTTCCCTCTCTACTGCCAGTGTAAGAGCAGTCTGGGGGCACACATAACGATACATGAATGTTAGGTTTGGACTTTCGAAATTAAGCCAAGATAAATGCGTTTTAGTGTTTCTCTTTTTCTGTTCTGGGTTGATATTTTTTTATACAACTTTGATTTAATGTATCTGGGTTCTGTAACAGTTGCTGTGACTGTAACATGCCTTTTGGGGAAGGTGTAACTTCTTGTTGTGTTCTGCAGCCCCCTCAGAACTGGGAAGGTGGAGGTGGAGGGTTGTTGGAAATGGCCAGGGCATGTATGCCACTTGAAAGTAAAGGAGATGCTTATCATGTGTCAGTTTTCTTACACTAGTTGAGTGTTGTGCAGGCTCATCATAATCATATTGGTAGAGTGAGTAAAGGATATTTGAGGTTTGATTGACCAGCATTTCTAAAGCATACCATTTTGCTATGTGGAACGCATGCATACAAACTTCCTTCTTGCATGAGGGCTAGAATGAAATCCTAAGAGTAGAAGTCAGAGCTGTGGATGTCTTGAAGTCTCATATGGGAACAAAAGAAAATGCGATAATAATGAATGCTGCTCTAATTCTATTTTTTCTTCTAAAACTTTATCTTTTAGGCAACATAAGCATTTTAGTGATATGATAAAGAGGAAACAGGTATGTCAGCTCTTTGTCCACCACCATCTCCTGCAGTTGCAAAAACAGAGATCTCTTTGAATGGCGAGTCACCTTTATTAGCTGCCACTTTTGCTTACTGGGACAATATTCTTGGCCCCAGAGTGCGACACATCTGGGCCCCAAAGACCGAGCAGGTACTTCTCAGCGATGGTGAAATAACGTTTCTTGCTAACCACACCCTGAATGGGGAGATACTTCGGAATGCAGAAAGCGGTGCAATAGATGTGAAGTTTTTCGTCTTGGCAGAGAAAAGAGTAATCATTGTGTCATTAATCTTCGATGGAAACTGGAATGGAGACAGAAGCACGTACGGACTGTCAATTATACTTCCACAAAGTGAACTTGGCTTCTACCTGCCTCTTCACAGAGTGTGTGTGGATAGGTTAACACATATTATAAGGAAAGGAAGAATATGGATGCATAAGGTAGGTTTGTTGTTCATTACTAAAAACAGTGGTTTGAGTTGTCTGGAGCAATAGTAAAAGATTAAAATTTGTGACACCAATTATGTAGCAACCCAAACACAAAAACCTAGAGGAAACTGGTCTATCTACAAGTATTGGATTTTGAAGGTAAAGCGTTGTCCATATTCAAAGCTGGATTTTTAGCCATGTGATTTATTGTTATATATACGATTATATGAGCATATGCCAGTTTCATATAGTTAACACAGGTGTCCTGTGTGGTGTTTTTTCTTCTCCCTAAGTTTGATGAAAATTATTGCTAAACTGTGCTAAATAAAGTATTTATATTAGGTGAGATTGTAAAATTACTGTTTTTCAGATCATTATTTTCATTGTTGATGTCCAAAAAAGGAGACTGTTGGAATGCTTTCAAGTTGCTGTTCTGTATACAGTAGTCACAGTATTAGTTCTCAAAAAAAGATATTGACAGTTTAGCAAGACAACTTGCCAGAGTGTTAAGTTGTGTAAAGCTATCAAGAGAATCAAGAAAAAATATGTCCTTTAGTCCGAATGTTATAGCTTTTGAAATCTGGAAATGGAAACTGTATTAAATTATTTTTTGAAGAATTACATCTTTGGGTTCATTTTGGATTTTTCATGATTAAATGAAAATTATTACGTATCTTGTTAAAAATAAATAACATTCTAATAATAAAATTAAAAAATCACTGTAGTTCAGATCGTCTAAAACAAGTACACTGCGTGTCAGATGTAATGTCGGTGGTGATGCGTGATTGCCTGATGAAGTTTTTGTTCCTCTTCTGTTTTGAGACCTTTAGTCAGCATAATTTAAACTTCATTTTTAAGTATTCTGATCTGAATAAGATTCCAAAAATAATAATTTATGTTAAGTTTTATGTTGTGATTTCTTTTTTGTTACACTAACATTGATGTTTTTTGCTGTGTGCTTAGTGATGGCTGTATCTTCTTTCAAATCCACTCTTGATAATTCTGGGGTTTGTTTTTCAAAGGAAAGATAGGACTTAAACATTCATTTTCAGTAGAGTGCAAATATAAATGTTTTATTCCTAAGCTAGTCTTCTAAAAGTCGATTGTTCCCTAGACATTAGTGCTTTGGACTTAAAGGAACGCTCATGCTCTTTATTACATAGCTTTTCTGTCATTTAGGGCTCGCTATACAGACTTTTAATGTCGAATGGTCACATAAAGCATTGCACATCATTGTTAACTACAGCTTGTCTTTTCTCTTTTTGAATCTTGATCCGTATCCATCTGTTTCTGCAGTAGAAATAGCCTTTGAGATGCGCTGACAATGATGGAAAATGTTTTCTGGTGGTATTCTCTGAAATTAATCGTGGAGTTCTTCATTTTTTTCCAGCAATTTTTGAAGTAGGTAGTCCAGCTTGGTCAGTCAAGAGAGTGACATTCTGTAAGAAAGTTATTTATTACTGGGTTTTTGAGGAAGGTCAGAAGTGTTTCTACCTTCATCTGCAGATCCTCAGCTGTACCCAGAAGAGAAAAAATTATATTAAAAATTTAGATTAAAATTTAGGTATGAGTAGGGTATTAAGGTAGGCCCAAATATTACAGTTTCCAGTTTCTGACAGTTCAGCAAGCATGGCTACACCAGAACAAATGATGTTGAAGGCCTATCTCAAAGGATCTGTGTATCTGCTCTGGCATTTGTAATGGTGGTTGTGGTTATGAGTTCTGGGGAGTTCTATTTAGGGATGGTCAACAGTTCCCAACAGATTTTAGACGAGAAGAAACCTTCTGAACTCAGGACTAGGAGAAACGTGCAGCAATGTTCAGACTGGCAAAGACAAGCAACTCCAAACAAGTCTTCTACAGGGGACTAGAAATCCCTTTTATTCACTAACATTTCACGTTCCAGTTGTTTGTCTAATAATTCGTAGCGGCTGTATTTCTAAAAAGAAATGGCTTATGGTATTCAGCCTCGTCTTCATGAAAGCTGGACTTCTTTTAAAGCAAAGGATCTTCATTGTCAAGGAAGCCTTATGACACTGATACGAAAGTCACGATGAAGGTGCCCTGAAAGAATTTGCATCATATCTCTGTTACTTTTCATACCCACTTCTTTCAGATTGTTAGACAAGTCTACACAGCGTTTGAGGGCAATTTACTGCAGCTTGCATCTTATTCATCTTCTCTAAATAGGTTAGGTAAACTCTTTACCCAGTTGAGTTTGATGAACTTTGAGTAATTCGGTCAGAGGAGACTAACCACTAAAAATGCAGTACCTTCTCAGCATCTAGCAAAAGATATCATTCGTTGTTGCAGCATCTTTTATTTTTGCACCTTGTATTGACTGATAAGTGAATACGGCTTTCATTGTGAATAATAACTAGATTCTGTTGTAAGTTATATTTCGAATGCTGTTTCAAATGCTGTTTGCTACTGAGCTGCCGCTGAGTCTGTTTTGAGAGGCTAATCCAACCTCTTACACTGTGCGTGTTTTATGTACTTTGAGGTTTCGTGTCCCCTGTACTTGGTTTTAAAACAGCGTGTTTTGATGACTTGCCAGTGTTTCAAGATGTGGAAATAATCCTGTCTTTCCTCCCCTCCCCAAACCAGTAGTTTTCCTTATCCTGCTGAGATCATTTTCTCTTGTTTGATCAGGAACCATCAGTCTGTATCCATCTGAAAATAAAAGTCCATAAAGGGGAATTCTGCACCTTAATCTCCTGATCATCTCTCATTTTCTTGGTCTGTAACAAAGGGACTATTAATCCGTTGTCACTGTCATCCCACTCTCCCTTTCTTGCTACTCCTGCTCAAGCATGTAAGAGGATTGGTGGGGAGCAGAGCAGGGAGCGTTGATCTGTTTAAAGTGACATCACTTCTAACTAATGTCAACTCTCTAAAAGAAAAAGACTTGAACATCAAAATTTGAATCTAAGAAGCATGACTCTACAGGGAAGAGATTTTGCCATTTGACTGTTGTGTGCATACGTGTATAGACAAATACCAGAGCTTTTATATTTAACTGCTTCTCTTGCTCAGGAGAGGCAAGAACATTTCCAGAAGATTGTCCTGGAAGGCACGGAGAGAATGGAGGATCAGGTAAGACGATCTGGTTGATGCATATATTGCACACCATCACAAAACTGTTTGACTGGATCTAGTGACTGTAGAAGTTGGTGCTCCTTCTTATTTCTGGGATCCAGGAAGATACTTTGGACGGGCTGATGACCTGCCGTGCACATGAGGCAAACTTACCGAAGATAGGATGATGGAAGCTGTGAACAAATTGAAGGAAAATATATTCCATCACTTTATGTGTAAAAGGGAAATCTATGAAGAATATTACCTTTCAGAAGAGGAAAGTTTTTTATTTGAACTTCACGTTCCCTAGAGGTAGTAGCTTCCACAGATTTATGCTCGCCTCCTGTCAAGGGTAGTTTTTCACTAGGTCGTTACCTCTTCAAGTTACAGAGATGTACAGAGTCTGTCGTGTTGAAATGTGGTTGTAGACTTGATGGAAGAGACCGTGAAGAAAGTTTGGTCTGTGAAACTGTACATGTGAAAGTGTGACTATAGTTTTGTGTGAAAGATAGAACAAGAGAAATAATTTCCTATGTTGATAACTAATAAGCCTGATACTGTTTTCCTGTCACTGTTAAAACATCATAGTTTGGATCCGTAACAATTAGTGGTAATTGCATGTAATATGGTATGCGCAAATTGTATCATTGCAAATATGTCCTGTCTAGGCCAATCAAACTAATCTGGCGAATTAGCATCGGGCCCTGGAAATACATTTTAGGTGTCTTTATTAAAAAGTGAACTGCATGTTTCCATTCCGATTGCTGATGAGCAAAGTCGAAGGAGTCTACGTATCAATTAACTCCCATAGCACACTTCCAAACAAAAACATTTTGCCTGTAATATTGCAAGTTTGTCCCTGGTAACTTCCTGTACTGAATGAGGTGCTTTTACTTCAAGCATGTTATTTATTCCTCAGGGCCAGAGCATCATTCCAATGCTAACAGGAGAAGTTATTCCCGTAATGGAACTCCTTTCCTCTATGAAATCACACAGTGTTTCAGAAGAAATAGATGTAAGTCCTTGTGTTTATTGCATTCTAATAAGAAAATGACTGTGCCGTTCTCATTTGGTGCTCTTTGACAGAAAAAAAACCCAAAGACACAGCTGTCATAAATTCTTGTACAGTTTAGGTGTTTGACATCCAGCTCTACTTAATAGTGTATGGTGTGGTTTAACATAACAGTTTTAGTTTGGTAAATATAACACTACTAGCAGTGGATTTTTGCTCAGGCACTTCCAATGATATCGTTTTAAAAAGAGAAGGGGAAGGATGTTTCATACAAAACAAAATAAATGAAGAGATAACTAGGTTTAATGTTGATACCTGCTTCAGTGTGGTTTAGTGTTCTTCTGAAAGAAGTGGAAGTGATCTGACTTGAACTAGTTTTTAAGTATTTAATTATATTGAACTCAATCTGACTGTCATGATGCATAAACAAGTTTAATGATCCAGTGACTCTTTTCATTCTCTCACTATCCTTTGGCTGAAGTCAGACCTTTTTAAGATTTTGGTTTTCTGACAGTGTCATAATTTATTTTAAGCAGATTCTAAACAGTCAACACCTATGATTAAAAGCAAAAATGAGTTATTTAAAAGGTGTTGCACATCCTTGTCTAACCTTTGTTTATGTTTACTTGCATTTCAGATAAGTGATACGGTGCTAAATGATGATGACATTGGGGATAGTTGCCATGAAGGCTTTCTCCTCAAGTATGAAATTCAGTTTTAATTTATGGTGTAGTAAAATTACTTAAACTTGCGTCTGTGTATCTATAAATATGTGTGCACGTGAGTATGTGTTAGATTAGTTTTTTTTATAGGAGGGGAAAAATGACGTGTTTGGCTTTTTGAGAGTTTTGTATGTAAAATGCTGTAAAAATTCTTTCTTTTAAAAGAATGGCCCTGAGCTAATGGTTGCAGCTGTTTATTGTCACAGTTATTTCCTTAGATACCAAATACCATTTTTCTTTGATACAAATCAAAGTCTTGCATCTTCATGAAATACCATATATTGAGTTGTGTTGTCATGAATAAAAGTCACTGAAAGTATGGCCAATAGGACGTTTATTATTATACTATGTATTTTTGTTTTATTCCCATATTTCTAAATTATAACTAGAAATAGTTGTACCTCATAGCAACTTAATCTCCTGTGGGAAGCATATTTCACGGATTTTAACTGATCATCTGTTACCTTTTAGAATATCTTCCCTATAACTGCATTAATTTCTGTAGTGCTTAGCTCCAAAGAATTCTGTAGTCTGTTTATACAGTATCACATATTCTTTCAGTACTGCACCAATTCATGTGTTAAATTTACTAGTTCTTCACAATTACGTAGTGTTTAGTTTTGTAGAGAACTTGGGTTCTCTGTGTTTGTAGTCCTGTAGTCCTGTAAGGCTAGCAATCTTTTAGAAATAATGCAGTGAATATTGTTGGATGGATTACTGTAAGCAGTTAGAGCCATTGATCCTATGATGATAAGCTAGTCTTTTATCAAAAGTAGATTTATCGGGCAGGTAATGGACTGTAGGAGTAAGAGAGGGTGTCAGTTCTCTCTTCTTGTGCTACTTCCCCCTGAAAATTTTGTTCAGGCAAGAGAAGAATAACTTGGCTGTTTGTATGAAGGGTCCAAGTATCAGGGACCCTAGTTGGAACATACCTGTTGTTCTGATGTGCTGCTGGTAACATCCAAATGAACAGCACTGCAGATGGGCAGTGCTGCACAGTAATCCCAACAAATCCAGGCTCATTGCATATGTTTTAGTTGTTTATCTCTGCAGTTATCTGGGGTGGTGTTTTGCACTACTTCCTTGTTAGGTGATTTTCCATTCTACATACCCACCTTTCCTCCTTTTGTAGCTTTCTTAAAATTACTGCTCATAGTAGCAAGCTATTGGACAAACATTGGACAAGCTCATAGTAGCAAGCTATTATACAGCTATTGGACAAGCAATGGCAGGATTCTTGAACAGAAGTGATGTAACTATCTGATGCATCAGATTAGATGACTCTCTCTTCAAGGACAAAGGTTCAGTTAAGCTTCCCGTGCTGCTCTATTTAAAACTGCTTTTTAGAGGATAGCAGAGCTTATCAACTCCTCTGAGTTCAGAGCTCAAGTCTAATATCGTGTTGGTATGGATTTCTATACTTCATTGAGTAAAAATTGGATTGCCCCAAGTGAGGAATTCGTCTGTACACAGATAGCCTTGAATCTAACTATTTTTAAAGTATTTGGTAAGATAAATAGTAATAGGTCCACTGTAAACTCCACCTGTAGGACTTGAGCATCTCAGTATAGCTATTATGGTCCTAACCAGTTAGAGGTGTTTGTTAGAGCTGATTAAACACAATACAATCAGTCCTTCAGTTCGGATAGCCTATCTTTACTTCTGTGTATTCACAGATGTTGGAAAAAAGCTTTCTGATTACAAAAATGGGTATACTTTTGAAGCTGTTGGGCAGGTGTTGGTTTGAGAAAGTTGGGAAGGAGTGATGATGAAACCTCAACGGAATTTTCTTAAGAGCAGGCTAAGAGTTGTCAAGGTTAGTCCAGGTGTAGCTGTTGAAGCCTCCAAACTCAGGAGTAACTCGTTGCTGCTGATAGCTCACAAGACAAGACCGTTCAATTCCCATGTGCCATTGTATATCAAGGGGCTCAAGCCCGTGAAGTGCTCTTGCCATGTAGTTAGCAAAAGTAGGGCAGTTCACCTACCAGGTGTCCCAAAACTGGTGTCTCATCCATGGTTTTAGAAAATGAGGACAACCATGGAATAGGTCATCTTTCAAGATGTTTTCAAACCCTTCATTATTAATACATTTTCTCTTATTTTAGATGAATTATTTTATGCTGATGCTATAATACATCAATAGACATAGACAGTTTTGGTTAGCTCTGTAAGTGGTATTTAGAGGGTCTGTCTGCTGGTCTTTCTGTCCATCAAACCAAAGATGTAGATATTGCTGAACCTACAAACATGTAGGTATTGCGAAAATCCAAAAGTTATACTGGAGGACTTAATTCTTCTTGCAGAATCACGGTAATGGCTAGAGTTGAAAAGTCTGGTTAAATGTATTAACCTATTCTTCTTTTTATTTGCAGTGCAATTAGTTCACATCTGCAGACCTGTGGTTGTTCTGTAGTTGTAGGAAGCAGCGCAGAAAAAGTTAATAAGGTAAGACACTTGGTAGTAAACCAAACTGAATGCTGATTATTAAGAGTGTTAGTGTGTCACTTGCAGCAAGGGTTGCCTATAAACATACCTGAGGTTGAAGAAAGAGGGAATATCATTGTCTGATAATCTTACTTGATTGCTCTAGCAATTCATAATTCTGCTTGAAAAGTTGCTTATCAGTTTTATTCTGGCAACTGTAAGCAAACCAATATATTTAATTTTTTTCATACTGTATATAAATGAATAGTAAATGATTTGGAGATTTTAAAATCATATTTGTTAGCTCTAAATATAAACTGAACGGTTCTGAAGTGACTTGCGCAGTTCAGCTATGTTAATAGGTGTTGTGTGCATACTTTAAGAAATGAGTATCTGCATAATTTTGCTGTGCTGAGGAATAAATATACATCTGCATCATGAATGGCTTATGTATCATGAAACCTCAAAGCTATTACAGAATCACAGAATCACAGAATGGTTGAGGTTGGAAGGGACCTCTGGAGATCATCTAGTCCAACCGCCCTGCTCAAGCAGGGTCACCTAGAGCAGATTGCCCAGGATCACGTCCAGGAGAGTTGTGAACATCTCCAGCGAAGGAGATGCCACAACCTCTCTGGGCAACCTGTGCCAGTGCTCTGTCACCCTCACGGTCAACAAGTTTTCCCTCAGGTTCAGACGGAACTTCCCGTGTTCCAGTTTGTGCCCATTGCCTCTTGTCCTGTCGCTGGGCACCACGGAGAAGAGGCTGGCCTCATCCTCTTGACACCCCCCCTTTCAGATACTTGTGCACAATCAGATCACCTCTCAGTCTTCTCTTCTCCAGCATAAACAGGCCCAGCTCTCGCAGTCTTTCTTTATAGGAGAGATGCTCCAGCCCCCTCGTCATCTTTGTAGCCCTCCGCTGGACTCTCTCCAGTAGGGCCACCTCTCTCTTGTCCTGGCGAGCCCACAATGGGGACACACTACTCCAGAGGAGGCCTGCCCAGGGCTGAGCGCAGGGGAGGAGCACCTCCCTCCACCTGCTGGCAACACTCTGCCTAATGCACCCCACGATCCCATGCGCCGCCTTGGCCACAAGGGCCCCTTGCTGCCTCCTGCTTCACTTGTTGTCCACCAGCACACCCAGGTGCTGCTCTGCAGAGCTGCTTTCCAGCAGGGCAACCCCCAGCCTCTCCTGCTCCATGGGCTTCTTCCTCCCTAGGTGCAGGACCCTGCCCTTGCCTTTGGTGAACTTCAGCAGGTTCCTCTCCACCCAACCCCCCAGCCTCTCCACGCCCCTC